TACCAACACTGTAATGCCCAATCCAGAATTTAAATTTAAAGCTAAGCCTCTTTGTGTTGATTCTTGTCCAGGTAGACATTATTATTTACTTACTGTCTTGATTATTCCAATAAGATAAACTTCTTGAGCTTGGTGCTCAATGTGTTGAAGATTGTCCTTTCAATTATATGTCTGTTGGTGGCAATAATGGAACTATGAGATGTGTGTTATGTGATGGTCCTTGTCCTCAAGGTAAATTATCTGCATAATAGGTGCGGATTAATTAATATTTAGAATGTGCTGGTGGTGTGTTTGATTATAATGATCCTGGAAAACTATCTCAATGTACTGTCATTACTACTGAACTAAGGATTTCAAGCATACCTGTAAATGTTAAGTTAGTGCTATACTTTGCAAAAAATTTATGAAAAAACCTTTTTAGTCCATCAATATTGAATGATCTCAATGACATTAGAGAGATACGTGGCTCACTGGATATTAGTGGCTTCAATAAAGAGACTTTTCCATACTTATCTAACTTGAAAACTGTTGGTAATGATTCCAGTCAAGTTTTATCACAGTCATACAATGGATCAAGTGACTCTTTTAAGTATTCAATTATTATAGCTGATACTGATTTGGTTAGCATTGATCTCTCATCCCTTGAAGCTGTCATCAATGGTGGTATACGATTACAGAATAATCCTTCTTTATGTTACCTTGGAAATTTGAGCTACTACCTGGCCAATGCATCATCATCATCTTGTGTGTTGGATAATCACAGAAGCAGTATTAATGAATGTGGTTAGTATTTGTATTTTGTGTAGTTTGTGAGTATTTTTTATTTGCCATGGCAATTTGTCTAAGTATTTACTTGTATGCAGCATGTAACAGCAGGTTCTCGTATATAGTTTCCTTGATGGACATTGTTTAGTTCTTAGCTATAAATAATGCCTCACTATAGACTTGGGTAACATTAGAATTTTATTAGTTTCTATTTGCTAATGATGGCTCTATTTTTGCATTGAATATCACAATGACCTAAGCATACTTTGTTACTGTGAATAATCCTGTATTAACATAGCTACTTCATTTTTTACATAGCAAATTTTATCTTTATTATAGGTAAAATGAACATGACATGTCATCCTCAATGTTCATCTACTTCTGG